CATCCAACAGCGCTGCACACACTTACTTATGTATATTCTGAGAGCAAGACCCTGTTGCTGTCAGAATAAACAGATCAGTGCTGCAGCTGAATGGCATTCCTGCAAAGAAAACAGCAATGGTTAACAATAAAACAGTACCAGTAAAACCATAACAGTATAACAGTAACTTGACAACAAAAGAAAAACATCAACTATTTTTGGTTTTTATTTTTTTATTTTTTTATTTTTACTTTTCATTTTTTATGTTTTTTTTTAACTTTAAGTTTAACCAGTTTGTAGGGTCTCTCAGAATGCGATAGCCAGTTTCTTGACTACCTAACTTCTTTCGAGACCCTGTGCAAATATGTGCCCTGAACTGTGCCATGCTGTACTCTATACTAATAGTCCACTAGTGTATGGTAGCGACAGAAGCAGTCCTTAAGGAAGAGACTAGGTTGGCCAGGACAGGAGGGACAACAAAAGTGGGTATCATGCCTAATTCCGTGTGTCAGAGCCTGGGATTGAACCTGGGCCTTCTGCGGTGGAATCCCTGATGATGTGGTATCTGATAGAGGTGTACAATTTACATCAAAATTTTGGAAAAGCTTTTGTTCAGCTTTAGGGGTAACCGTTAACCTGTCCTCTGCTTTCCATCTACAGTCCAATGGTCAGACCGAAAGGACCAATCAAACTTTGGAACAGTACCTTCGATGTTTTGTCAGTTATCTTCAGGATGACTGGGTGGACTATCTACCTATGGCAGAGTTTGCCTATAACAATGCTAAACCTAGCTCCACCTCCCAAAGCCCCTTTTTCCTCATTACGTGGTATCATCCAGTTTTCATTCCTGATCTCCCTATCACAACTCAAATTCCTGCTGTTGCCAACAGATTAACTACATTGCAGGAGATTCAGGCGAAGTTGATCGAGACCTTGGGGGAAGCTCAGGAATGTTATAAAAGGGCTGCAGATAGTCATTGCAGATCACTTCCTACTTTTCATGTGGGTGACAAGGTTTGGCTATCTACCAAACATCTGAAGGTTCATGTTCCATCTGCAAAGTTGGGCCAAAAGTTCGTGGGACCTTTCCAGATTTCTGCTCAGATCAACCCAGTCACCTTTCACTTAAAACTTCCTGACAGTATGAAGATTCACCCTGTTTTTCATGTATCACTTTTCAAACCATTTCATGAAAATCCTTACTCTGGAAGAATTCTTCCACCTCCTCCACCTGTTGAGGTACAGGGTGAAGAAGAATATGTGGTGGAGAAGATTCTTGACTCTAGGATGTTTAGAGGAAAATTGCAATATCTTGTCCAATGGGCAGGATATGGGCAAGAGGAAAATTCTTGGGAGCCTGAGGAAAATGTTCATGCTCCTAGACTAACAAGAGAATTCCACCAGAGGTTTCCCCACAAGCCTGGTCCTAAGACGTCCGGGGGATGTCCTGTGAGGAGGGTGAGTACTGTCCAAGCCTCGGATTGAACCTGGGCCTTCTGCGGCAAGAGGCAATGTTTCTTCTCACTGAGCCACCTGGAATGCTGGACAGCTCCCTTGACAATTCTTTGGATGATCCTGCCTTGGCCCTGTTTGTCTTGAACCTTGAACTCCTTGCTCCTCCCATGAACTTCCTATAAAAGCCATGTCCATGCACTCCTTGCCAGACTATGATTCTGCCTCATCCTATCTATTACCATTTCTGACCGACCCTTGGCTTGTGACTGACTCCGCTTCTGTTTGATCCCTAATCTGTTTGATCCGTTTTTGGTTTCCAGCTTGTTCATTCCCTGGTGGGGTGATCCTGAGATATGCGACCTGGTATTAGCACGCAGCCAAATCCATCTCCACCATTAGGAGCTCTGGGGAAAATGGGTAATACTTAGACCCCACACCTCAGGTGAGCCTGGTTTCAGGTAAGCCTTACGCTGCTGTAGCAACTGGTCTCTGAACCTGACCTAGACCGTGACACCGTGTCTGCTACAGACACAACATTTGGGGTGTCCTTTGGGTTGGGGTACCAGGAATGGCATTGGGAAAATGCCTCTCATGCAGCATGCTAACTGCATCTGGGTTAGGGGTTTGGGCCATAGAACCTTCTGGATACAAAAGGGCCATGATGATCTCTTCCTGGAATTCTAGGAAGGATCAACTATGTCCAGTTGCTTTGTAAAGCACAAAAGAGTTATATAAAGCCAATTGAAATAAATAAACAGACACTTTTTTGTACCAACATCTGGCTTTTTGGGAAACTAAGTACGGCTTCGTCATCTGGTCGTTGAAGTTCACCCCTCCCCATGTTAAGGTTATAGTCATGGACATAGAGGGGCTTCTCAACAAAACCAGCTGCTGTGGCAATTTGGATGGTTGTGTCTGCGTGAATGAAAGACGGGACAAAAACATCCCATTTGTCCTTCCACTTCACTGTGAGCAATTCATCATTTCTCAAGCAGGCTTTTCCCCCCTTTCTAAAATGGGTATTTACAAGCCGTTGGGGAAGCTCCGGCGATTAGGTCGCACGTTGCCACATGCACCAATTCCAGGATTGTACAAATATCTAAATAGTGGAAAGCTTGAAAAAAAATTGTCCACGTATAAGTGGTACCACATATGGAAAAATGATGACACCAAGTCCCAAACTATCTTGTCATTGCTCCCCATGTAGTCTGGGCATCCAGGGGGCTCCACTATCTTTTTCATCATAAATCCGAAACTTATATGTATAGCCTATTGCCCTCTCACAGGTCTTATACATCTTGACCCCATATCTGGCACGCATGCTGGGGAGAAATTGTTTGAATGCAAGGCGGCCAGAAAAACTAATGAGGGACTCATCAACCCAGATGTTTTGCTGGGGAGTATAGACATTTGCAAATGTTTGGTTAAGGTGATTTACGAGGGGCCAAATTTTGCAGAGCCGGTCAAATTCAGGGTCACCCTGAGGAGGAGTGTATTGTTGATGAAATTCATAAATTACATTATATTCTCATATCTATGCCTGTCCAGAGAACACAGGCATATGACGAATTGGGTCTGTGGACCAATGCAACCGTAATTAATTTTTTTTTAGTAATGCCCATGTTGAAGGATAGACCCAAAAAAAAAATTAAATTGATCCACAATCAATGCATACAGATCTTCAGTGAAAAACAACTCCAAAAAACCAAGCAAGTCATTAGACTTGCTGTTTCCACCTGAATTCTGGGTTGGGCAGTGAATGGGGGAAATACGGGTGCTGCAGAACTTGTGGGTTGCCAATGAGGATTTGCAAGCACATCCGGAAGGACACTAGGGCTCTACAGGCCTGTGTGCAAATTCTTGGTGTACTTGTGCTAGCCACCGCACTAGCTTGTACTGCACTTATGGGACTCGCTACGTCACAAAGTGATACTGCAGTGCTGGTATGTATAAGACCAGGATGTACTAGGCCGCTGGTGCTCGCCAGTTCACCAGAAAGGTAGAGCGACACTAGTACTGGCCCTCTACTGCATATGAGAATCATCATGCAATTGTAACATCTCAGCAACCTAGGAATGGGGTCGGGTACGCCTGACCCTAGCAGGGATCCCTTCTTCATCATCTGAGCTATCTGTCAGGGTGCCGCTGGTGTCTACAGGTTCACATTCTGAGGCAGATTCTGTAAGTGAGGGTTCCCCTTCGCTCTCATCTGACAAGCTCAGAATCCTGTAGGTCTCTTCACTAGAGTACCTTTCGTTGGACATTTTGGCCACTAAATTTATAGGTACCTAGTGCGACTCACAGGAAAAAGAGCACCTGGCTGTCAGAGACTGCTTGAACCACTACAAAAATCTGTACCTGCAAGTGCTAGGAGAGATCAGGCCTGATTCTGCGAACACTTCAGTTTTTTGTGCAATGTATCAAGTGACAGTGACCTACTGACACTGCACTTGCTGGGGGAGAATGGGGCAGGTTAGGCATTGGGGCTAAACGCAGGTGCTGGCAGGTGCTGGGGCTGATCCCGCTAACACTGCATTTTTGGGGACACTATACTAATGTGAACAGTGGTATATTGCTGATCTCATCAAAGATATTGATGCGTTCAGACACTATACTAGCAATGGAGGTTTATTGTGTATGTGAACGTGTTCCTGGCAATCAAGGGTTTAATGTTATGACTGATGTAGTGACAGGCAATCTGACGTTATCTGGGAGGGACGCTAACTGACGCTAACGTTATCTGAAGTAACCGGTGACACTAATACAGTGATCAGTAAAATAATCTGTACACTGTACTAATGACACTAGTGACAGGTCAGTGAAGGGGTTAACTGGGGGGCAATCAGGGGGTTAAATGTGTCCTAAATGTGTTTTTACTATGTGTGTAGTGATTTTACTCACGTGAATTTGCTTTCTTCTCTCTCTGGGATGGAATGTGCCCAGAGAGAGAAGATTGCATCATTTCCTGTACCTGTGTAAATGTAAACACAGGTACAAGAAGATCTGTGATAGGGCATGGATCACCGCAGGAGCACGAATCACGAATATATACATGATTTTGCGCAGGGTGTCTGTAACAGTATTTCTGCTATAGGGTGGACTTAAAGCGGTTAAGCTATCTTGTGTTTTCTTATACTTCTTGAGGACTCCAAAGGTTAGGTCTCTGTGGATGAGTTTCTAGCTCTCTGCCTCTGTCAATGTGATTATGAGGAAGACTGATATACTGCACAAGAAGTATAAAACTTCCTTGCTGTATGAAAAGCCATGGGACTCCAGGGTGGGTAGGAACAGAACCAAGACAGGCCTCATCTTTCACTGTGGTCAGGTGACCATTAATGTCTATAAATACCCATTTTTTTGTTGGCAGCACAATGTATTTTTATTTCTGTGCATTGAATATTCCCATCAAAAGGACCCTTTGCAAAATTTATAACAGCATATTGTTAATATAATTTTACTTTGAGTGTCATGTATACAAGACAAAGTCCAGAATAAATTTAAGAGCACACTCTACCTTTGATGACAATATGAATTTGACAAGTTCTGCTGTTGCCAGATGGATCAGTTGCAACATACTCGACAATCGTTTCACCATGGGTAAAAATATCTCCAGGTGAGTGGGTTTTTGTAATAGTTAAATGAGAACCTAAAACATATTAAAAATGATGCATTAAAGAAATGTATCATATTAGGGTGGAAGGATAAATAATGAATATAAAAGACACCAGTTTCTCACATTATGTGTGTTTTTTTCTGCAAACACCCACAACATCACTTTCATAAAATAGAAATATTAATATAGTTAGCTTCATTTTCATTAAAGTATTGCACGTGTTTATCTCCAATTGAGAGATTGCCCCTCACTGTATGCAAGAGGGGCAGACGTTGGAAGATCTCCACAAAGAGACTGGGGCAGCACAGTGGCTAAATGGTTAGCACTTCCTTCCTGGCAGTATTAGGGTCATTGGTTTGAATCCCAGCCATGGCACCTCCTGCCTGGAGTTTGCATGTTCTCCCTGTGCCTGTGTGGGTTTCCTCCGTGTACTCCGGTTTCCTCCCACACTCCAAAGACATGCTGGTAGGTGAATTGGATCCTGTCTAAATTGTCCTAGTATGTGTATGTATGAATGTAAGCTAGGGACCTTAGATTTTACACCTGTTGAGGGTTAGGGACTGATGTGAATGTATAATATATGTAGAGCACTGCGTAAATTGAAGGCGCTATATAAGTACCTGAAATAAATCAATAAATAAATAAGAGAAACAGCAATTAAAACCAAACAGGCATTCCAGCCCTTTCCACTTCTATGACAAAATCTTAGAGTGACATAAAAGTTGGGTGTTAAATTGAATATGATATATATATGTTTTATTGACATAAGAATTTACTTCCTCGAACAGTGCTGGAGTCTTTGTTAACATAGCATGGCTTCCAGGTATAGAGGAGTACAAAACACCGCCCATATGTATCTAACACAGGGCCCGAAACTCATGTAGGGTGGTCCTGACATCATTCTTCTATTAAAGTTCTGACATGAGCCAACATCAGAGTGTGGACAGGCTAGTGCACTGCAATGAGTATGGGTGGTCCTGACATCATCCTTCTATTAAAGTTCTGACATGAGTCAACATCAGAGTGTGGACAGGCTAGTGCACTGCAATGAGTATGGGTGGTCCTGACATCATCTTTCTATTAAAGTTCTGACATGAGCCAACATCAGAGTGTGGACAGGCTAGTGCACTGCAATGAGTATGGGTGGTCCTGACATCATCCTTCTATTAAAGTTCTGACATGAGTCAACATCAGAGTGTGGACAGGCTAGTGCACTGCAATGAGTATGGAGAATTGCTCAGTAAGTATAAAAGTTGTCAGGGGTCTTTTTGCAGACACTGTCAGTTTGCACTAATTTAGTGTCATTATAAGTAGAACTTATAGGTCGTGTCCCTCTCCAGTCTGTGACAATGATATGACAGTGGAAAAACATGTTTTTAGAAAGGAACCAACAAATAATGTAAGGAAAACCAGGCTTCATATGTTATCAGGCTGTTTTGAAATTTTTTATTCTAAAACTGGCTGAAGGTTTCAAGAAATATTAAGAGGGATATGTGTGACCCAGAAATGATCAGTTTATATGTTTGCTCTATCAGAATACACTTTGTGACGGTACAAATTGCAGAAATAAGGAACAAAATAAGCCTTTAATGAAGCTCACCTGAGTTGTCAGAGAACTGTGGCTCCTCCCATGTTGCACTTTGCTTGTTGTCAGTAGCTTGAATTGCTGGAGGTGACCTGCACCTGTCAATAACAGGAGGGTCTACATCTAAAAAGGCATACAATACAAATCAGTTATTGCAAATCAGTTATGTGCAATTGCAAATGATCACTGAAAAACTGTTATTTCTGTGTCTACATGGAGCAGTTTAAATTAATAAATGGCACAATCATTGGTATAGGAAACTAGGCTTCCAAACACTGAAAAGGAAAAACATCATGAAGTTCATTAACTAAAACAGTAGAATATTTTTATGTTGTGGCTTATGTACACTTTTCTCTGAAGCTGTGTTCATGCTGAATACCAAATCATGTACAAACACAAATCTTGTTTTGTATTTTATTTCCCTTGGACATGAGAGGGTGTGAACTTAGTCTCATCATTTGACCATGCCTTCACCATACACATTCACCTTGGTAAGTGAACATCCACTGATCCAATGGCAAATCCATCTGAAAGTGTGCAAGGGCATTTTGATCTGACCACAATGAAGTAGTAGGTATTACTACATGCACAGGGTGGATTTCATCATAAAAAGAATCATTGAAGGCACACACTGCAGCTATATTGAAGTCTGCCTGTTTAATTTATGACAGAAAGTTTGGAGTTGTGAAGACTAAAAGATGAAGGGATGGCACATGCAGACTACAGGGACGACCAGATACTTGCACACCCCCCAACCCCCTTCCCCTCCAAATAAATACATTAATAAACATTTTTAAAACCAATAGAAAATATTAAATCAACAAAACATGAAACTGCTAAATTTCTTTTAATTTGCAAAAAATAAGTGCCATAAGATGCCACCAGCACCAATATTAAAGACAAAATCAGTGTCACGGACAGACTGTATCTGTGACTGGCAGTGGCAGGATGACAGTGGCAGTGAGTGGAGGATGATGGATCTACACTCTGACAAATCCCAGGCTGGAATTCCCCAGGCAATGTGAGGAGGTAGAACCCTGTGACAGCAGGCAGACCAGAGAACACACAGAGAGAACACCTGAACTGAGCGATCCCACACAGTGATAAGTCCAACACAGCACACCACCACCAACAGTGATACAGATCAGCAGGCCTAGCGGGCACTAGAAGAGCAGGCTGTGGGATCATGATGATGTCATCACTCACTAACGCACTGTACAAGTGATAGATGGCCATCCGGGTAACATTCACACAGACAGAAGACATCAGAGTCAGACATTACCTTCACCTGCAGGCACATCTCTGCCCCCGATGATGAATGGGAAGAGAAGGGCTGGAACTCTACAGTGACCTGCAGCCACCAGCTAGCTTGCAGTAAGTAACTGAGTCTGAGAGGAACACTGGAAGGAGTGGCAGCTCAGCTGCTACACTGGCCCCAGACACCCAGCACCTTCCTCTGTCCTTTCTTCCTCCCCTTCTCTCAGCTGAAGGATCATTCATGACATGGCAGCATCCCACACAGAGAAAGTGCCAGCCTAGCTGCACCCAGGGGCCTTTAGGTGTCACTACTCCCTAGGCGGCTGCCTAGTTTTGACTAGTGGAAGCACTGGCCCTGCATGCAAAGTGACAGACAAATTGCAAGGGCAGTACATTCACATGTACTCACTAAGTAAGTTTATTTCCTCAACAGGAATGTTAACATTCCCGTTGAGGAAATACGTTTTCTTGGCCCATGATTGTGAACAAAGAATCATTAGGTGTAGCTTTGCTTTGTTCTAGTACCACTTTAAAGTGGTACAACATATGATTCCACAAGGTGTGTTCGCATACATAGTCAGTTTTACCAAGGTACACCAATACACATGCAGGTTTTTAAATCTTTAAAAATACATTTGTGAATTGTGCTGCAAGACCATAGCTAGTGCACTACAAATACACATAAATCACAGTGAGATCTACTATACTAAATGACACTCAAAACAGATACTATTGTTAGTGATAATGCAAAATATATTGGAGTATAGTACAATTTAAAAACCCGTGCTTGTCCTAATTTTTATGAGTGTACAATCCAATTGGTCTAAAAAAAAACAAACACAGAACATCTTACTAAATGTTTTAGGTACAACATAAAAAAAAAAAGATTGGTGCCCAATGTGATGGGGACATCAATACTACTGTATGTATCCCCACAGAAAAGAAAATGTAAGATCCCAAACTCATACACTACAGTTGCAAGAAAAAGTATGTGAACCCTTGGGATTACGTGGAGTTTTGCATGAATTGGGCATAAAATGTGCTCTGAACGTCATCTAAGTCACAACAATAGAAGAACACAGTCTGCTGAACATAAACTACTACACAAACATTAGATGTTGCCATGGTTTAATTGCACATAACATGTAAACATTCACAGTGCAGGGAGGAAAAAGTATGTGAGGCCCTAGCTTAATGACTTCTCCCAGAGCTAATTGGAGCCAGGAGTGAGCCAACCTTGACTCCAATCAGTGTGATGATATTGGATGTGTTGCTGACAGCTGTCCTGCCCTTAAAAAAACACACACCTGTTTTGGGTTTACTGGTTTCAAAAAGCACTGTCTGATGTGAACCATGCCTTGCAGAAAAGAGCTCTCAGAAGACCTACGATCAAGAATTGTTGACTTGCATGAAGCTGGAAAGGGTTACAAAAGTATCTCCAAAAGCCTTGATGTTCATGTGTCCACGGTAAGACAGACTGTCTACAAATGGAGAAAGTTTAGCACTGTTGCTACTCTCCCTAGGCGCGGTCGTCCTGTAAAAATGACTGCAAGAGCACAGCGCAGAATGCTGCATGAGGTAAAGAAGAATCCCAGAGTGTCAGCTAAAGACCTACAGAAATCTCTGGCACATGGTAACATTTTTGTTGACACATCTACAATAAGGAAAACATGAAACAAGAATGGAGTACATGGGAGGACACCACGGAGGAAGCCATTGCTGTCCAACAAGAATATTGCAGCACGTTTGAAGTTTGCAAAAGAGCACCTGGATGTTCCACAGCACTACTGGCAGAATATACTGTGGACAGATGAAACCAAGATTGAGTTGTTTGGGAAGAACACACAACACTATGTGTGGAGAAAAAAAGGCCCAGCACACCAACATCAAAACCTCATCCCCACTGTGAAACATGGCGGAGGGAGCATTATGGTTTGGGGCTGCTTTGCTGCCTCAGGGCCTGGACGGATTGTTGTCATTGATGGGAAAATGAATTCCAGAGTTTATCAAGACATTTTGCAGGAAAACGTACGACCATCTGTCTGCCAACTGAAGCTCTGCAGAGGATGGGTGATGCAACAGGACAATGACCCAAAGCATACAAGTAATTCAACAAAACAATGGCTGCAACAGCACAGAATACGCCTTCTGGAGTGGCCCAGTCAGAGTCCTGACCTCAACCCGATTGAAATGCTGTGGCATGACCTTAAGAGAGCGATTCACACCAGACATCCCAAGAATATTGCTACACTGAAACAGTTTTGTGAAGAGGAGTGGTTCAAAAATTACTCCAGATCGTTGTGCAGGTCTGATCTGCAACTACAGGAAACGTTTGGTTGAGGTTATTGCTGCCAAAGGAGGGTCAACCAGTTAGTAAGTCCAAAGGTTCACATACTTTTTCCTCCCTGCACTGTGAATGTTTACATGTTATGTGCAATGAAACCATGGCAACATCTAATGTTTGTGTAGTATTATGTTCAGCAGACTGTGTTCTTCTATTGTTGTGACTTAGATGATGTTCAGAGCACATTTTATGCCCAATTCATGCAAAACTCCACGGAATCCCAAGGGGTTCACATACTTTTTCTTGCAACTGTATATTGCCAAAAGTAGTGGAACGCCTGCCTTTACACGCACATGAACTTTATTGGCAACCCAGTTTTATTCCGTAGGGTTCAATATTGAGTTGGCCCACCCTCTGGGAGTTGGCCCACAACTCTTCTGGGAAGGCTGTCCACAAGGTTTAGGAGTGTTTCTTTGGGAATGTTTGACCATTCTTCCAGAAGCGCATTTGTGAAGTCAAGCACTGATGTCAGACAAGAAGGCCTGGTTCGCAGTTTCCACTCAGTTTCCACTCTAATTTATCCCAAAGGTGTTCTATCAGGTTGAGGTCAGGCCAGTCAAGTTCCTCCACCCCAAACTCGCTCATCCATGTCTTTATGGACCCTGATTTGTGCACTGGTGAGCAGTCATATTGGAACAGGAAGGGGCCATCCCCAAACTGTTCCCATAAAGTTGGGAGCATGAACTTATCCACAATGCCTATGGTATGCTGATGCCTTAAGAGTTCTCTTCACTGGAACTAAGGGGCCAAGCCCAAACCTTGAAAAACAACACCACACCATATTCCCCCCTCCACCAAACCTTTACACTTGGCACAATGCAGTCGGGCAAGTACCGTTCTTCTGTCAACTGCCAAACTCAGGCATTTCCATCGGATTGCCAGATAAAGAAGCGTGATTCATCACTCCAGAGAACACGTCTCCGCTGCTCTAGAGTCCAGTGGCAGCGTGCTTTACACCTCTGCATCCGACGCTTTGCATTGCACTTGGTGATGTAAGGCTTGGATGCAGTTGCTCTGCCATGGAAACCCATTCCATGAAGCTCTCTATGCACTGTTGTGCAAATCTGAAGGCCACATGAAAAGGTCTTTAGTTATTGACTCTGCAGACAGTTGGTGACTTCTGCGCACTGACTCTGCTCTGTCATTTTACGTGGCCTATTACTTTGTGGCTGAGTTGCTGTTGTTCCCAGTTGCTTCCACTTTGTTATAATACCACTAACAGTTGAACGTGGAATATTTAGTAGCAAGGAAATTTCATGGAGGAATTATTGCACAGGTGGCAATCTATCACAGTACCACACTTGAATTCACTGAGCTCCTGAGAGCGACCCATTCTTTCACAAATGTTTGTAGAAGCATTATGCATGCCTAGGTGCTTGATTTTACCTACATGTGGCCATGGATGTCATTGGAACACCTGAATCCAATGATTAGGAGGGGTGTCCCAATACTTTCGGCAATATAGTGTACACAGTATATATATTGGAGAATAGGTCCACATAATGCTGTAAACTTACCTATTACCTTGATGTTAAATGTGCAGCTACCTTGATTGCCAGAACTGTCAGTTGCTGTATATGTCACAGAGACATCACCAATCGGAAGCATATGAGGTGGTAGAAAGGCTGGGCTAACCTCAATTGTCACCTACAGACATATGGGACATACAAATGTGAGAAACTGGAGGTTTTTTAACCTAGTACTGTGCATGTGTATGCATATATTCAGCATTAAATAATGATTCACTAATGCAATAAGTTATCAGTCCTGTCCAATGCCAGACAGGACTGATAACTCTTTTTTATTGAGAATTAAGATATAAACAGAACATAGATCCATGTGGCATAAAATATTAGGAGATTGCATAACAATCTCATATAAGATTACATAGTAAGCATCAAATCTCCACAAGCAAAGAGCAAAGACATTACATAGAAAAAGACAAATAAGTCAACATGGTCACATCCACTAAAGGAGCTCCTACTAACAGCAAGGAATTGGGAGAAGACAACTAAATAGGAAGGGGGGGGGGGTTGAGGGAGAAGTAGGGAAAGGGAGATATAGGGAGGGACATATAACACCAGTTGACAATGTCCAAAGGGGACCTTTCAAGATTTAGTGGTAGAAAATCAACATTAGCATTGAGAGAATAAAAAAAAAATCCCCTCAGGATTCTCCACATAAAATATCATATGAAAACTTCCAGATATTACTCCTAAACATACTGTAACCCTCTGGCTTCCACCTGGGGAGCCCTAATTTTCTGAAACTGTTGTAGGACAATTATGACCGGTATAAAATGTGGGGGGGGGGGGGCTCCGACAGGGACACAAATGTGCAGGGGGCTTCAATGGGAAGACGAATGTGCAGGGGGGTCACTGACGGGCACACGACTGTGCGGGGACACCGACAGGCACACGAATATGCGTTGGGGCTCCCATGGACACACAACTGTGCGGGGGTTCTCTGATGGGCACACAAATGTGTGGGGGGGGGCTGATGGGCACACAAATGTGTGACGGGGCTCTGATGGACACACAAATGTGTGGAAGGGCTCCGATGCAGACATCAATTTGCCGGACTCCTCTGATGGGTGTTGGGGACACAAATGTGTGGGGGGGGGGGCAATGATGGGGACACAAATTTAAATGGAAACACTGCACACTGCAAACATCCCCCCATAGCTTTTATTATTGTAACCCCTTTCTCTATACGTTTTTGCAAGCTGGTGCCAAATGTATTCAAGCATAACTCCAGACACTTCTATTTTTTTTTTTCTTTATATAATCCTGTGTATGATCTAGGGGCTATGACAGTCATCAGTTCATAAAGGCATGGAGAGAAATTCTGATTTTTTCAGAGATTAAAACCCTTTGCCTGCACCATTAAAAATTTGATTGTGTTTTGACTCTGCACCAAGAAATGTCCCATCAATATTCCAGCTTTTTTTTAACCAGGGTGCCCAGGCAACCAGCGGTGCCTTGGCAAAATGCCTAAAAATTGCCAAAAAAACTGTATACAAGCCAGTAGGTGGAACTAGCCTGCTGTTTAGTTAAACAAAGCCATAGGTTTTCATTGTGCACCATTACAACCTTCCAGCTGCTGATGTTCTAACAACCAATGACATCATCTGTTGATAATGAGGACATAGGTGGGCTGCACGGCATCCTTGAATGCTCCTCCCCTGTCCCTCTCCATTAGCACTGGGGTCACATTAGCTAAGTGAGGGAGAGAAACATTGTGATACTAATCAGTACCAGTGTGCAAAGGTGTATGTGCTTTGGAAGAATAAATTGCATTGGGTGTCCTACATGTGTTGATGTTGCTGCGTTTTGTAAAATGTTTAGTTTTGTTTTTTAACATTTTAGAGTGGGGTGCCTTAAGATTGTGCATAATTTTAAAGGTTGTCTTGACTGAAAAAAAGTTGAGAAACCCTGATCTATTCAGCCATAAATCTCAATATGACAACATTAAAAACATTAAATATCTAACAGAAGATCCAATCATTGCCTAGAATCAGGCTTTAATATAATGTGATAATCTCTTATACTGAATCTAAAACATATAAGGCTTATCAATGGCTGAGATTTTTTTTTTTAACTAACTTTTTCTAGTGAGTCATAATAAAGAGTGCAATACAGAAACGACATCTAGACTTGCCTTAGAAAAAAAAAAACAACAGGACAGAGAAAACAAAGAAATCTATAGAATTAAAATGTCATAATACTTTAACTAGGTACTGTAAGTGAGTGTAAAAAGGTATAAATGAAGAAACTCTTAGGGATAAAGTTACACTATATCTATACATAACACATTATTGAAGAGTTCTTTTGTTATTAATTCAATCTGTCATATATTCAATTGTCTGCTATAATGTATTTTTATTAAATTATTTAGTATGAAATGAGGGTGAAAGACTTTTCTAATGTATAGATATCAGACAACAGGCTGCTGTGAGCATATGATTAATATACTTTTGTACAGAAGTGCACAGCATTTTTAAAAGTTGAAGTGGTTCTAAAGGTTTAAGGTTTTTTACCTTCATGCATTCTATGCATGAAGGTAAAAAATCTTCTGTGTGCAGCCATTCCTCCAGACCCCCTAATACTCACCTAAGCCCCATCGCGATCCAACAACGTCTGCGAGAGTCTCGGCTTGCTGGGGATTCTCCCTCCTCAATGGCTGGGACAGTAGCAGGAGTCATTGACTCCCACTGCTGTCAATCCCAGACAGTGTGCCAATGAGAAGACAGAGGGGGGTGGGGACAAGCCGCAGCTCTGTGTGTGAATGGATTCATAGAGCAGTGGCTCGGGAGTGTGCCTGCTCGGGTGCCCCCATAGCAAGCTGTTTGCTCTGGGGGCACTTGACAGGAGGAAGGGGCCAGGAGTGTCGGCAAGGGACCCCAGAAGAGGAGAATTGGGGCTGCTCTGTGCAAAACCATTACACAGATAAGTATTATATGTTAGTTATTTAAAAAAAGAAACTGAGCCTTTAGTATTGTTTAAAGATAGCAAAAAGTGAAAAGGATCTAATGGGGTCAGTGAGTTAAATTACTAGTGTTCATGCTAGTTCATTTCTTCATAAAATAACAATTTTAGCAAAGTCCCTAAAAATAGTGCCCATATATCCTAGCAGTCCATTACTATGCCAACATACTGTAGATTGCAGCACTCGATCTATGACCCCTCACAATATCCCCAATATGTTACTTCAGTCCCCTGAAAAGCTTATGCATGAACTGACTTTCCAGTAATTTGTATTTGCATATGGCTATGAACACCGCATCCCATCACCACCCCTCTTCCTCAAGGTTACAGTGTTTGGGGCTTATGATTGACTGCTCAAGCATGTTGTGGAACATGAACATGGGTGTTATAGAAGGTAAAAAAAAATGTCCAAAACTTGGATGTACTTAATTTTTCTTTTGATTGTGTAACAGCATTGCTTTATTTTCTTTTGAGTACACAGAAAAGTTAAAGCTGGTCATACACTGATCAAAATTTGGCCATCTTAGAAGTGAATGGATGAATTTCGATCAGTGTGCAACATATGATTTAAAGATTCTAGTATAAGCAGAAATGTTGTTATGCACATATAATTTTTGATCAATTCAGAATATAAAAATTTCATTCTGTTTACACTTATGTAATCTTCCCAACATTTGAATGTGCAAAGTAAAGTAGAACTATGCCTCCCTACTCACTCACACACAGTTGAATGTTGTAGCACTTAACTATAAGTGCATTTGTGTCCTGCAAAGCCTCACAAATACCTACTAGTCCTGCTAAGGAAGTCCACCTCACAGTTTCCTGAGTTGGGGTGAACTCTGGAGCAGTGCAGTTTTTTCACTGGTAGACAGCTAATATTGTACCTATTCACAAGAAGGTAGAAGATGGCAATTAAAGCTGAGTTTACCATTGGTTGTAGTTAAAAAAAAAAGGTAGACTCGATGGACCACTTGGTATTTTCCTGCCTTCATTTTTCTATGTTTCTTTCTTTATGATGACTGTGCATCATATGTCACATAGAAGGTCATGAGCTTCCAGATATACCCTAAATGTCTTCCATTGCTTTATTTCTCACTGCTGATACAGTCTAGGGAAGTTGTGCAGAGTAGAAGAGAGTGACAACGCTGCAGTAATTTCTGCAGTCATCATGCAGCATTGTCAGATCATAGGGCAAATTTACACAAATACAGAAAGATGAGCATAAGCTAACAGGAGTTTATTTGGAACAATATTTTACCAAACAAGGAAATAGGGGTATCTCTTCAACAGCAACAAAAATTAAACAAAAACTTTTCTTTAGTAGAACTGGGAAAAGCTAAAGCCTCCATTAGATCACATTGCTATCCTTGTTGTAGATTTGCTCTCACTTCCTGCCTGGTCAGCTGGACAGGAAGTGATGGTAAATGTCTCTAACGGAACTCCTGATAGTGCTACAAACCCAGCAAAGGTTCTAATCTTTTCCCACTCTTATCAAACCTAGTAAAAATCAAGAAAAAATAATAATATATCCATAACTACACAGTGAAATAATAAAATCATATATAATCAGCACAGAGGGTTTGCAGTCTTTTGCAGTCACCTCTTCTCCAGAATTATCTCTCGCTTGTGGAATTTCCCAATTGACTTGGGCTACATTCTGATGCTGAATGTTTTCGATAAGAATATCATTTGGACATGTGATTTCAGGAGGTTCAAAATCTGTAAAATAGAGAGAAAGTGGATTAACAGGATAGAGAGTAATGGTAGAATGAAAGAAAATGATAGCATTTTAAAGTAGAACAAGATGGTTAATAACATTAAAATTTTAAATGAAAAAAAAAGTTATATATATATATATATATATATATATATATATACACACTTTTTTATTATTACGTAAATAACATTTCCAGACTGCCGACAGCAAATTAAAATTAAGTGGTCCATTCAGTATAGTCATTAATTTTTTCAAAGTAAATAATATGGATTAGCAAGGACAAGCATTTGCTTGACTACCTGCATAACTACAAAGGCCGATTTTTGTTTGTAGTGATTAATTGGTCTCTTATGGGCATGATGCTGCTGACTAAGACATCTTTTCTTATCCCAGTTGTAAACTGTGGGCACAGTTTGTACATATGTACTTGAATATATTAAGAATGATGATGAGATAAATGCATGCATTATACATCTATATCAATTCTCCACATCAATTTGGATGACTAACTCTCACCTTTGCATATGCCGCCTTGGACATCTTCACTCCATTTACCATTGGAAAGACATTTAATCTCTTCTCTGACTTCAGATAATACAAAGCCCTTTTGACATCTCAGATAACAGACTGATGCATATGATGCGGGCTCTTTGCCACAAGTTGTTGGTAATATTAGGATATTTTTAGGCTTTTTAAAAACAGGACAGTGAATCTCTGTACAAAACAAAGCAGGTTACTTAGATGAAAACAAAAGAATGATATTCCACTTGAATATGGCATATCTCCTTGACATTAACTTTAAATGGTATTATTTATTCAAAAATGCCTTACTAACCTAAGCAAACGTAATTATACTATTGTGTGCAGTACAACAATATAATTCTTTAAAGCAAAACATTGTAATGAAAAATCATGGTAATTTAAAGTGTACCTAAACTCAAAAACAAAAATGCAATATATTGCAGTTTACCAGTCCTTATTATACAGTTTACCAATCCTGATGGCTACACTATATTCTATTTTTCTGCCAGTAACACTCTTTTTGTCCTAGTGTGACAATGCTCACCCACTGTCCTGTATTTATGGAGGAATAGTATTTTCACCCTAGGAAAGGAAATAAAAGTATTATATGTATTATGACAACAAAACTCCCCACTCCGTACAATAGAGGAGATATGTTCTATTACTTTATAGACCAGAGGTCTATTACATTATTGTCCAGGGTTCCCTAAAGTGGTCAATACTGCCATCCAAGTGTCAATGAGACTATCCAATGGGTCGATAAAATGGCTGGGGTTCAATAGGTGGTCAACAAATGAAGAAAAGTCAATTTGAGTCAATTGATCTCTTGAGGTCCCCATGGAGCTACACCCCAGTTATTAGTCCTAAAGGCAAGGTAGCTAGCATCATGTGTTATATAGGGTTGACTGTCAACCATCAGCGAGAGCAAACTTGAATTCTCTCTATCAGCTGTGTGTTGTTGCTAGCCTTGTTTACCAGAGTGCTTTGTATTGTACGTCTGTGACCTTCCATTTATATTATTATTATTATTTGTAGTAGTGTTATTTATTATAATATTTATTAAACTATTTTCATAAGATACTGTAAATGTTTGGGGGTGTAAAATGATTTACAAACTTCATTAATGAATTGATGACTTTTTCAGAGCTTCCCCCATCCTCTGGAACTATCTACCCCAATTTATCAGACTATCGCCTACTCTACTCACTTTTAGGCGATCTCTGAAAACCTATCTCTTCAGGGAAGCCTATCCTGCTCTCAGCTAATAATGGAATCTACTCTTCCAACTAGTCCATCCCCCACAGTTACTACCTTTTGTACCACTAGCCCCTCCCTCCTAGATTGTAAGCTCCAAGGAGCAGGGCCCCCCTTTCCCTCTTGTATTGCACTGTATTGTCTCCCGTTATATTGTAAAGCACTGAGCAAACTGTTGGCGCTATATAAATCCTGTATAATAATAATAATGAGCTGAACAGACTGGAGACCAATGTTATAGACAATGGGGTTGTGCAAAGTGAACATTTGCTGACCATAGTAATTAATCTGTTGCTGCCATTGTAACACAAGGGCAGTAGCAAAGAGGGTGGGCTTTAAGGCCCACACAGAACACACTTGTATCCATGGGCGGCATAAGTTTCTGAGCTGGGAATGTGTTCACTGCGGAGGTGGAAATGGGTTAAGGTAAGCCTGGGTTCATTTAGTTTACAAACTGTTCATTGAAAGCATCACAAAAAGCAATACATCAAACACTGCACTGACACTGCAGGAACAGTTAAAGGGCAAAAATGTATAAACCTACTTCAGGACAATTTTATGGTATAGTTCATAGAGGTCCCAACTAGGAGTGATGCTTTGTTGGACCTGGTAATCTCAAACCATGCAGAGCTTATTACTAATGTCCATATAAAAAGAACATCTGGGTTGCAGTGATCATAATATAATTTCATTTATTGTTAGCTGTAAACAACAAGCACATACGGGAAAAATAAAAACAGTCAACTGTAAAAGAGCTAATTTTCCAAGGCTGAGAGCAGCTCTCCAAGACTTAGACTGGGAGGGAATATTGGCATCGGTGAACACAGGACATAAATGGGAGTTCTTCAAAAAGACTGTATGTGAACACACGGCAAAATATATTCCCATGGGCAACAGCTTTAAAAGGCTAAAAATCCAACCTACCGTGTTTCCCCGAAAATAAGACACTGTCTTATATTTTTTTTTGGCTCAAAAAAACACACTAGGTCTTATTTTTGGGGCAGGTCTTATTTTTTTTAATGTACAGGTGTGGACAGGGGGTGCAGAGATGAGCTGCAGGCAGTTGTGGATGAGGGTTACTAAAGAGAGGGCCGGCTGATGACAGATGACAGTTGTGAGCTGCAGTCAGGTGTTGCAGAGGTGAATTGACAGGTGAGTTTTAAACAGGGTGAAGAGATGAGCCACAGACAGAGTGCAGGGGTGAGTTGCAGACAGGGGATGCAGAAGTGAGCTTTGGGTCCTATCTACCCACACAGTGCACCAAGCGCACTCACTCACCACTCCGCCTCCCTCCTCACTGGCCAATGATCACCCCTGGGGCATTGGCTTCCATGCATTAGGCTGCAGGATGAGATGCACCGCCCCCCTAAACACACTGCGCCCTCATATATCTGTTTCTTCTCTGTCCCACAGTGAGTACAGAGGTAGAGGGGTTCTGTGGGAGCAGATGGTGCTGTTGCTTGCAAGAGGGATTGTCACTTGGAAACACAAAAGCTGCACTTCTATGTTTATAGGAGACAGTAGCAATTCCCAAAAACAGTACTAGGTCTTATTTTTTGGGTAGGTCTTATTTTCGTGGAAACAGGGTATGTGGCTTATGGCCAAAGTTAAAAAAGCTATAAATAATATGAAAAGAGCTTTTATAAAATATAAAAATGAAGGAACACTATAATCATTAAAACATTACAAAGAACATAACAGAATATGTAAAAAGGAAATCAAGGCTGCAAAAATGGAAAACAAACGATAGCAGGACAAACCCCCCAAAATTCTTCAAATATATTGATAGCAAAAAAGATTGGGTCGAAGCATATAGGCCCTTTAAAAAATAATCTAGAGTGAGTGACTGGGACAAAGAGAAGGCAAATTTATTAAATACCTTCTTCAGCTCTGTGTATACAAAGGAGCATGGGGGAGCTCATGTCCATAATGGGCAGGGTATTGACACAGCCCCAGATGACCCACATTGGCTCACAATTGATATGATCCAGAAATATTTAGACAGTATAAAGGTGAATAAAGCACCTGGACTGGATGGCATACACCCATGGGTCCTTAAAGAATTGAGTTCTGTTATTTCAAAGCCACTGTTTCTAATTTTTAGGGACTCTTTAATGACTGGCATAGTACCACTGGATTGGCGTAAGGCCAATGTGGTGCTTATATTTAAAAAGGGGTCAAAATCTTTACAAAGTAATTATAGACCTGTTAGTTTAATTTCTATAGTTGGAAAGATACTGGAGAGTTTAATAAAAGACCACATGGATAAGATCTTGGTTGAAAAAAATATTTTAAGCAACAGACAGCATGGACTCATGAAAGACAAAGTCAAACAAATCAAATTTCTTTTTATGAGGAGGTGTACAAAACCTTGGACAGAGGGGTGACTGTTGATGTGGTATACTTGGATTTTGAGAAAGCGTTTGACACAGTTCCCCACACACAGCTAATGTGTAAGATAAAGTCTACAGGCTTGGAAAATCCATATGTAAATGGATAGAAAACTGGCTAATAGATCGAATTCAGAGAGTAGTGGTTAATGATTCATACTCTGAATGGCCTGGGTTGTTAGTGATGTACCCCAAGGTTCAGTGTTGGGACCCTAACTTTTTAATATATTTATAAACAATATAGGGTCTGGAATTAAAAATACTGTTTCAGTCTTTGCAGATTACACCAAGCTATGAAGTGGAATAACGTCCTTACAGGATGCCTCCAACTTACAAGCCGACCTCAATGCACTGTTTAATTGGGCAACTATGTGGCAACTATGTGGCAAATGAGGTTTAATTTTGATAAATTTAAAGTTATGCACTTGGGGGCTAGGAATATGAATGCATCATACATACTAGGGGGAGTACAACTGGGGGAATCAATAGTGGAGAAGAATCTGGGAGCTCTGGTAGATCATAAGCCTAATAACGTCATGCAATTCCAAGTTGCGGTTTCTAAAGTGAGCAAAATCCTCTATTGTATTAAAAGAGGTATAGACTCCAGAGAGAGAGGTATCATTTTTAACCCTGTACAGATCATTAGTAAGACCTCATCTGGAATATGCAGTTCAGTTTTGGGCACCAATTCACAAAAAGAATATTGGGGAACTGGAGAAAGTGAAGAGAAGGGCAACCAAACTGCTAAGCAGCATGGAGGAGTTCAACTATGAGAAAAGATTAAAGGAATTGAATTTATGCTCTCTTGAGGAGGAGATTAAGGGGGGATATGATCAACATGTATAAATACATCAGTGGTTCATATAGTGAACTCGGTGTAGAGTTATTCACCCAAAGGACAAGGGGGGCACTCTATACGTCTGGAGGAAAAGCGATTTAATCTCCAAATACGTAAAGGTTTCTTCACAGTAAGAGCTGTGAAAATGTGGAATAGACTCCCTCAAGAGTTGGTTCTCTCCAGCTCAATAGATTGCTGAGGCCTGGATTCTTTCCTAGATACGCATAATATAACTATAAAGTTAATCCAGGGACTATCCAATTGCCTCTCGGGGGATCAGGAAGGAAATTATTTCCCTACAGGAGCAAACTGGATCATTGCCTTCCTCTGGATCAACTACGGGTATAGGATTAAAACTTTTTTTTGTTTGTTTTTATGGTTGAACTAGATGGGCTTTTTTTAAAAAGCAAAACAGTGTTGTAAAAACATGTAAAACAGTACTTTCAAAAGACAGAGAAGACAAAGAATAAGGGAGGCAAGGAAACAATACCAGATGAAGTACTGCACAATGTCATACAACAAAATCGTAATCTAAAGATATATAGTCAAGCAAGTCAAAAGCAGACAATAAAATAAATCATCAAGCATCCA